AAGCCGCTCCACGTCTCCCTGGTCTGCTGGGGGGAAGCGCCCCCCGCGCCGCCAGAGGCGGTGACAGTGGGGGAGGCACCCCGCACTAGCGGGGCCCCCCCCCGTTCGTAACTAGGGGTCCAACGTAAGTCGGACTGATTAACCAGGGGACCGCCTGTATTGCAAAAGAGCTCATACCTAATCTTCTAAAGTACGAGTGCTTAATTTCTCAATCTTAATGTTTTATATTTCCTAAAAATATATATGCCACACACTTGAATTTTAGAAGTCTCAAAGGGGTACTTGTGTTAGTCTGTAACTTTAAAAACAACGAGTAGTCCTGTAGCACTTTAGGCTTTGTCTTCTGAGCCACCGAAATAACATAGTGCACGTTTACACTACATGCCTTTATTTCAAAATAATGTCAAGCTGGAGGACTTCTTACTCTGACTCATGGTAACCCTCATTTCATGAGGAATATGGGAAGTCGAAGGAAGCATGTTCTTTCTTTGACTTCTTGCTATGTAGACCGTGCCAAAAGCCAAATTAAGCTATTTCAACTTAAGCTACACAGTTGACGTAGCTGAAGTTGTGTAGCTTAATTTGACTTTAGCTCTGCTGCGTAGACGTTCCCCTAGAGACTAACAAATTATATATATATTATCATGAGCGTTCCTCAGAGGAAGTGGGTTTTGCCCATGAAAACTCATTTATTTATATTTATAACAAAAAATATTTGTTAGTCTCTAGGGGCATGTCTGCACTAGGAAATTATTTTGAAATAACTTATTCTGAAATAACTATTTTGAAATAGCGTGTCCATACTACAGAGAAGCCTCGAAATTAGTCCAAGGCAGGCACCCTAATGTGGATGCACTACCTCAACTTAGAGCCCCTGGAAGCACTGGGGAGTAGTTACTTCGAATGATTCTGTGGAGTAGTTACTTTGAAATAGCAGTGGAGCATCAGCACTATTGCTATTTCGAAATAACTATTTCAAAATAAGTGTTGTTCCTTGTGGAAAGCAGGACTTATTTTGAAATAACCAGGCCTTTATTTTGAAATAATGGGCTTGCTAGTGTGTTCATTCCGCTTGTTATTTTGAAATAATTCCTTAGTATACATCAGGGCTAAAGTGCTACACTATTACTTGAACTTTAGTTATTGTGTATGTTTACATATCTGTAGATACATATCCTCCCAAAATATATACTTATGGCATTAAAATACATGATTTGGAATTAATACTACTAAGAGAGGACACACATTAAATTTAGTCTAAAGATTTGGAGTGTGAAATAAAGCCTGTATTTTGTTACAACAGTGAGAAAATGTAACACCTTTGGGATATTAATTCCCTTTTTGTTTATATAGAGAAGGGTTTATTTTGGTCACTATAAGTATAGACCATGTTCAATAAGTAGAAGCAACATTAGCCCTAGTGAATTCTTACAGAAAAAATGTTGCTGCAATGTATCATTCATGGAAATCACATCAGAGGACTTTAGAGTTAATTTGTATGTTTGTATTCCACTTCTTTTAGCTTGCTAATCCAGATTTTATCGAATCCATTTCGGATGTTGTTGATGAAGTTATACAGAATTGTCCCATTGATGTTCGTCGTCCATTATATAAGGTATGGTCTTTTGGGGTAAGACTAACTTACGTACATAGACATACATTGTGAGAATAAGGACCTTTAATTTTCAGGTGAAGTAAATACCATTCCCATTTGGCATGGGAAGTATAAGCTCTAGGTACAAGTAGTTCTTGGGGGTTGTGGGAGACTTTTTTGGGAAATCCAGACAACTTGGATTTCTCATGGGAAACTACCTTGTATTTATTGCCTTTCATTTTCAAAGCATTTGAATTCTTACAATAGTGATGTGAAATAGGTAAGTGTTATATCCATGTTACCAGTGGAGGAACTGAGGCAGAGAAGTTAAGTAACTTGACCAAGCCACACTTGGAATCTGTAACTTGAGTTCCCAGAAATTTATTATTATACAAGTTTTCAAACAATGGTATGTTTTTGGTAATTTTGACTTTTGCATTTCCCACCTTCCCCCCCAAAAAAAACCCTAAATACTGAAGCTAGATATTAAAATACATAAATAAAAAAAACAATTACATGATCCAGGCTCCTAACCCTGTATACATTTATCAGGCCTCAGCCAAGAGAGGTCTTTGTTATTGACTTGTTAGAATGTGAAAATGGGGGTACCTTAATTACAGTGCCAAAAATCAGACTGAGGATTTAAAAGCATAGGCCCACAGTGAGCTTTCCTTTTGAGATGGAAGGACAGCTTATGTTGCTAATTGTTTGCCACCCTTGCAGCCATGATACACTTCATATGAATAGAAGATGCCAGGTTATTGTGCAGATATGTTTTTTTATAGGTGGTGGTAGTTTTCATATAAATTGAGTAAGAAGATCACTTGATCTTCTCATTGCTGACCTCAGATACATCTTTAGTTGTTGAATTTTATAGACTCATAGACTTAAGGTCAGAAGGGACCACCATGATCATCTAGTATTCTAGTCTGACCCCTTGCACAATGCAGGCCACAGAATCTCACCCACTCACTCCTAGAATAAGCCTCTCACCTATATCTCAAATATTGAAGTCTTCAAATGATGGGTTAAAGACCCGAGATACAGAGAATCCTCCAGTAAGGGATCCGTCCCCAATGCTAGAACGGAAGGCGAAAAACATCCAGGGCCTCTGCCAATCTACCCTGGAGGAAAATTCCTTCCCGACCCCAAATATGGCAATCAGCTAAACCCTGAGCATGTGGGTAAGACTCACCAGCCAGACACACAGGAAAAAATTCTCTATTTTTAGTGGTGCTTGTTGAGGTGTTTGAGTTATAAAATAATGTTGGCCTTTCAAAGGGGTGTATGTGAGATGCTGCTGGAGATCATTTTGCACAGTAGAGTAGGTATGCTAAGTCAGTCACATTTCAGCACCAGTAGATGATTTGTGACCAAATTTGTGAGTGGGTTATTCACTTAAAAGTTAGGTCTTGGCCTTTCCAGATATGAGTGGGTTTTGTACTTAAAGTCTCCATTTTAATGCTCTCTTCCTTTTTCTTTGCTAGCTCAAAATATTTTGTCTAGAGCAGGGACTAGATAAGAGATCTAATGAACCCTGCACAGCAAGCCTGAACAACAGTTCAGGACAGGAAGTAAAAAAAAATCTATAAAGTTGATGAGGTAGGATAACTTTGCAATAGATTACTGGCAGTCCCCGCCGCCCGGGTCCTCCGTGGCTTTGCTCCGCGGCCCCCTGGTCTGTTGGGGGGCCACCCCCCAGCAGACCAGGGAGACGCAGAGCAAAGCCGCGGAGGACCCGGGCGGGGGGACCGCCCAGACACGCTGCGGTCCCGCCGCCCGGGTGCTCCAGGGCTTTGCTCCGCATCTCCCTGGTCTGCTGGGGGGAGGCTCCCAGCAGAC